TACAGTCATTAGTATCATTGTATTAAGGCTACTACAGTAACACCAGACAGGAACTAACCTGGAGAACCATATTCATGCCTTGGTAACCTACAGATCTTAGGCATCACTTCCATTAGGGTCTTGACATACTGAAGAATCGTCCCTTGTAACTACAAGAAAACAGATGTGTGTAAACATGTCAGTGTTACAGAACTGAGAAACTTCACAACAAATTGCATTCCAACTACATGTGAATTGAACAAGTGCTAAAAATCTTGCACTTGATTCTGCCACTCATCATCTTCAAAAAAGCAACTTTTTCAAATGAATACAGTTGCATTTTCCTTCATAAGGTATTAGCCACCTTTTGCTACAGGAAGAACGGCACAACAGCTAAGGCCAGGAAGGTGAAAAAGAGGAAACCATGTTCTCCTCTTGCAGACTGTCTCTATTGCCTAACCAACCTTTTTTTTTTTTTTTTTTTTTTTTTTTTTTTTTTTGTCTGTAACAGCTCACACTGTCTATTCTGGACATACCAGTTAAGACACAGTCCCAGCCTACAGTCAGTCTGCCTTCCTCCCACTAGACACCTATCTCCTATCTGTCTCCTTACATCTAAGCACCTGCATCAGGCATCAGCAGGATACCTCCCCCCGGCCTTTCAGCCTTCTTTATAAATATCCAAGCTTTCAATGCTACCGTTAACGAATTGAGATGATTTACCACCTAAATAAAAAAAATAATTAAAAATCTCCCCCCAAACAACAAACCAACACAACCCCAAACTATGAAAAATATCTGTGTTTTCCTCCTTCCCTGAAGATTAGACCACACCACCCCTTCAAGCAAGCTCCAGTCTTTCTAGAATATCAAAAATGTACTTAGAACATTGTGGGAATTACTGTAAGCAAACTGCCAAATTTGTTGAGTGTCTGAAATGAGGTTTTGAATGCTACAGCTATCCCCTGGTATAGTTGGATTAATCTGGCAACATGCTCCTTAGAGGCAACAGGGACAGGGAGGAAAAGAAATTTCTTTGGCTTAAACTTAACTGCAATGCATTATGCCTATATACATAGATACTAAAAATACAGCAAACAGCCAGTACTTCAACCTCCTCCTAGTTACAGAAAAGGCCCTTTCCTATACAAGACACTCAGGCTGTAGGGATAACTTCTTCAGCATTTGGTCTGAGCACTCTTCTAAATAGGCTTGATGCTATCCGTTGCTAGATCAAGCACAGAGATTAAACCTTCTTTGTTATCAAGGTGTCGTCTATCAATGATGTTATTAATGAAAACCCTGAAGTTAGGCAAAGCAGAAAGCACACCACAGCTCTGCTCCAAAAATATGGAGAAAGTGAATTTACAGTACAATCTTTAAGTTGAAATCAACTAATTTGAAACATTCATACTCCAGAGTTTACCCAGGACCTAACAGCACAGGTTTTCAAAACACTGCTCAGGCTACCAAGGCACATCATCTGATGCTTCCACAAGACATTGAGTACTCTCAAAAACAGCTTATATTGAACTTCAAAGGAAGTAACATTTTAATTAGTTTTATCTGAGATCTTACTTTCACTTTTTTTTTTCTTGAGACATTTCCTACCAGTAACCATTTGGAATAGCAGAAAATGAGACAATTGGCATACCAGGCTCTTGACAACTTTCAGCAACTCCTCCATCACCACAGCAATACCCTGATACCCAAGAAGTCTACAGATGACTTTAAAGTGAGGGGGACCAACAAAATTCCTGTAGTTGCTGTAGATGCTGGAATATGCCAGATTTAATGCCTGGAATGAGAGAACAGAAATGATTAATGACAATTTCAGCTGACTGCTTCTTTATAATAATCTTATTTAAACAACATTTTAAAGCATGTTAAAAATAAAACAACAACTTCATATTTCACTCTCTCTCCAGGGAGTTAAAATACAAAGCTTCCCTTTTGTAAGGCAGGAACTTCAACCAAAACCTCTGTATTAGCAAGAAAAACTTGTAAACACTTTTTTTTAATCACCAGGCATCTTTCACTTACTATTTATAAAGCCATGAACATTTCCTCTTTTGTATTCTTCTGTTTACACAGTATAAAAGGATAAGAGTAGTCAATGCTGATGTTCAGATCCCTTAATTTAAAGCACAGCTTCTATTTTTATATAGTCCATTTTATGTACAAAACAACCTGAAACAAGTTACTTCAATTTTCAGCTCATAATAGGTGTTTTAAGTATCTGAGGAATAAACTACAAAAAACCACCAGTCTTCAGCAGTTACTGTTCTCTGCCACTAATTAATAAGGATCTCTCTTTCCTGAACCTCTTAGCTGTACACAAGATCAAAGCAAATCTAAGTCTGGGATGTAACCTCATGGAAAATTATTCCAGAGTTGTATAAATAGGGCTGACTGCGTGCTGTGCCATATTAATGACTATTTCTTCAAAGCAAACACAACTGTACAGTCTGGTGCTGTGTAGGGATTTAGGAACTGTTTGCTGAAGCTGTGGATCAAAGAGGAGTTAGCTAACCTAACATCCTCCATTTCTGTAAGTGGGTTGTTCTCCTAATATCCTGGAATTTAATTCTAAAGGGGAATCTTGTCAACTTTTCTTGCAGAAGGTCCTGTTGTGTTTCCTTCTCTTTTTCACAGTTTTCATTCTAATACACGCATGAAAGTCAGGATACTGTTAGACTCTCAACTCCACACACATCAGCTGTAACAGAAAACCTTCCTTCACCAGTACCCAGGAAGAACATAGACCTTCCCTTCAGTGCAGATCCTGCCCCAGCCATCCACGCAAGTCAATGCCAGATACCGCAATACATGGCATTGCACAAAGAAACTGCTAGGAATTCAAAGTCACAAAACTACCAAGCTCTTGGAGGATTTTAGTCTCATAAAAGGACTTACATCTTTAGAAGAGATCAGGAAAGAAGATAACACGTTTTTACTTATGTTGTAAATCTTTATATAAACACCGGTTGTCAACATGTTTAGAACTGTTGTCTTAAAAATTTAAAAACTGGATTTGAGACTGATATATAGCAAATGCAAATTTGGCAACAGGTTAACAATTCTTGGCCACCTTTCGTGGATGCCTTAGACGTACTTTACAAACCCTCATGGGTCCAAAATTGTTGCACTATGAAAACAGGCTCAGAAGAGACTATCTAGGTCATAACAAGAGACACCTAGAGATACAAACCCAACTTTCTGAATCAAGCAACTCCTGAACAGTGAGAAACTGCATATGTTAAAATACTCACACATAGGAAAGTACGTAAATTTTATCATGCTTCAACAGCCACAGAAAGTTATAACCAGAAATTTATTTCTGCAATGTGAAAATTCAAGAAGTTGCCAGTACTGAAATTTACTTAAAGGTTCAGTTGTATTTCCCACATGCCTGAACTTCTGTCTCCATCTGTGTGACAAAACTATACAGCAAAACATCCTGAACTGCAGAAAGTGGATTTGGGGTTTGGGTTTTTTTCTTATCTTGAGGGTCCTGACAAACAAGAAGCTGGCCATGAGCCAGCAGTATGTCACAGAATCATCTAGGTTGGAAAAGGCAGCTAACAGCCATTGGGGGTGCATTAGGCAGAGCACTGCCAGCAGGTGGAGGGAGGTGATCAGCACAGGTGAGACACAGCCAGAGTGCTGGCTCCACTGGTGGGCTCCCCAGTACAGGAGAGACATATGGGAGAGTCCAGCAGTGGGCTTCAAAGATGATTAAGGGACTGGCATCTTTCCTATGAGGACAGACTGAGAGGTGGGACTGTTCAGCCTGGAGAAGAGAAGGCTCAGGGGCATCACATCCACAAGCCTAAGTAACTGATTGGGGGGAGTAAAGATGATGGAGCCAAGTCTGCTCAGTGTTGCCCAGTGACAGGACAAGGGGTAATGGGCACGAACAGGAAATCCCATTTAAACATCAGAAAAAACTTCACTACTCTGAGGATTGTTGAGGCTTCACTACAGAGAGGCTGTGGAGTCTCTGCCCTTGGAGATGTTTGAGAACTGACTGGACACATCCCTGAGCAACCCGCCACAGGTCACCCTGCTCTGGAGGGTCCCCCAGCCTCAGCCATCCTTCAGTCCAGGAAGCTCTGTTCTAAAGACTGTGGGCTTGTGTTCATTTTGCGGAGGAGGGCTCCTTTCAAATACTCTCAGCCATGCTTTCTGTGAACACAAACTAAAACAAACACCTGGCTAATTATTAGACTCCTAATACCCAACACAGTGCTCCTATTAGATCAGAGCTGGCTAAAAGGTTAAACTCCAAACACACTCCACCAGGTGGAGAGCCTAAAGCTGCATCCCTCTAGTACAACGTGTGCATTTCCATAGCTCTCCACACAGAGAAAAGCGGTCTGGGGCATCAACAGGGGAGAGAACTGTTAAAACCTCAAAATAATACATGCAGATGAATGTTCAGATACACTAAGCATTTATACAATTCCCCCTAAAAGTGAGATTTCATCTTTTGCTTTTGATGTTTCCAATCAGATAAGTCTCCACAATAAATGTGTCCAATCTATTTCTGCTATAGCACAAGGGGAATTTTATTCCAGTAGGTTAAAGCATTTTACTGCCATGAGGTTAAGGGGAAGAAACTCCTCTTCACTCAGCAAAAATTTGCCATAAAAAAAGCAAGCTGTAAAAACATGATTTCAGTATTGAAAAACTCACCTATACATAACAATAAGATGTCAGCCAATCTAAAAATACATCTTTCCTTAATGTAACCCTCATGAGAAAGTATCTAAAATGGTTCAACTGCAAATGCTGGGTTAGCAGAGCTTTATAAACAGTGACAAGGAATTTAGAAAATACCATCACATGCCACTGCTACTTCCCTCCCATGATGCACAGAAGTATAAAATGCTTAGGGAAGAAGCCACTAACAAAAAGGGGGTGGGAGTGGAGAGGGAGGGATGGAAAGAGGGAGTTCATTATTTTTTTAAGCTATGCTTGCTCCCTCCCCTACTTAAAAAAAAAAAAAAGTTGCTAGTTGCTGATGTCATCAAAGTGCTAACATTAATCACTCACAGCATCACTAGTACACGCACAAGAGCATATAACAGGGATGTTCAGGCAGTACACTGTCCAAGGGGAAGCAAGCAAGGGAGGAGGAGAAAAGACATTATTTTTTCTCCTGTACATTCTTTGAAAAGCAAGACAACATCACCAAGATGTGTTCTTGCATGAATTTAAGTGGAAGAGACAAAGCAACCATGCCACCAGCAGCATCGGAGAAAAAAACTGAAAGCAATAAGCAGTGAGAATCAGTCCAGGGAATCTGATGGGAAGAAAAGCAAACTGGCAAGCAGATATCAGCCAGGAAATAAACTCATGTGAAAAGGGATACAGAAAACTTAGTGTTTCTATAATTTTCACAGCAGCATCACCATATGAAAATTCTGTTCTGAAATTTCCATCAGGAAGTGACGGTAAGTACTGACTTTATAATCTACAAAACATCGAATTGGTTTTCCAAACATTTACATGTCAGTAATTATATGTCTTCTAATAACTCATGTTTTGTAACAATAGAAATGTATTATTGTTATTTAGTTAAAATCCAAACATTCTGCTTACAAAATGTTGTGAGGATTAAACTATTGTGACTAGACTGTGCACCAAAAATAAATTATAATTTTAATTAATGGGGGTCTACCAGATAAAGAAAAGACAACTGAGCAAGTAAAAACTCTGACCCTACTAATGCACCAGATTTTAGTATTTGCACGAGTTGGTTGGATGCCAAAATGTGTCTAATAAGTTTGATAGCAAAGTCAGTTCCTTTATATTGTTACTGTATCAAAGTGTGCATTTACCACACGATTAGAACAGCAGCATCTACCCAGATCAGTCATATCTAAGGTTTTACATTGTAATGAAAGTAAACATACATCTTTGTCTTCTCACTTCCCAGTAAGTATAATTCAAAAGCCTCGAGCAACAATTTTCATGCATAAACAATCACAGAATTTTTACTATTAATGTAACTATCAAAATCCCACTAAAATAATATATATATTGCCAGCCTCCTATCTAATATAAAATACAAAAGCAGCATTACACAATAATTTTAGAATATGTTATGAGCGAATCTTACAAGCTTTCTTCATCAGGAGAATTTTCAATAGTCAATTGTTATTTAGCCAGGAGACTTAACATTTTAAACATGATCATTAAAAAAAAATAAATTCATTTTTATAACGAAGTAATAAACAGTGAAATATACTGTCACGGGCATTTATCTTCATAATTAAAAGTAAGAAACTTTCACAGTGGAAAAAAATTTCATGAGTGCCACTAGAAACTGACTACTAAACTAAGAGAATCAGACCAAATTGCTGAGGTTGACTATTTTTCAAAAGTTACCCTCACAAAAGTAAAAGCAAAAAACCCATGCCAAACAAATTAAAATATCCACTAACTGATATTATATATTCTTTAGTAGATGCACATAGAAAATTGCAGAAAATAGATGTTTTCCTTTCACTATTTACAGTGGTAAGACAAACTGAGAATCTCGAAATACTGGCTGTTTTTCCAATTCTAATTTTATGAGAAGGAGGAGTATTAGTTCAAGGCAGACACACTATGGAATTACATACAATCACTTGGAATAGAAGAGACTATTAATCACTTTTTAAAAACCCACTATTTACCCAAAAGGTATGCTATAGTGAAAGCTGTATTTCACCAACTTGGAAAAGCTTTCTCAAGCTAAGCTAAGAGACTGACTAGCATCAAGACTAGATATTGTGATACTGATGTCACCAATGTGCAGTCATCACAGCCACTGCTCTAGCAGAGGGTACAGATGTGCTAACTCACCACCAAAAAATGGAGAGCATCGACGAGTAAGAATGTATGTAAAATGGTATTGGAAACAAAATAATATCTGGTGATGTTTCCACATACTGTTTTGGTTTTCAGTTGATTGTGACTGGCAAAAATGAAGACTTTTGAATGACAGAGGAATTTATCCCTCAATATCCACCTCTGCAACCCCTCTCTTGTCACTTAACATAAGACAGTTCACTGCTCACAAAAGCAGGCTTTGAGATTATGTAAAACACCAAGTAATATAATAAAATCCAAGCTACTCAGACTAGAGAGAAAAACAACTGCTGCATTTCTTTTTCAGTCATCTGAAAAAAAACCCAAAAACCTGTGAAAGGAAACAGTTCCCCGATCACAAATTCTTCAAAATAGATCATCTTGCATGGAGACAAGATACAATTGGTCACCTGTACAGGCAACAGCTCCGGTTGAATTTCTATAACCATATGTTTATCCTTTCACTTGGGAAAGAAATACATGGTTTAAAATACCCCCAAATTTATGAACTTGCAACTCCCATTTTACACAGCAGTACCAAAGGTAGGAGCATAATTTCCTAACAAACTCCTTTCCTAAATTACAGAGTACTACAATTAAGATCCAGGTGACATCCCCAGTGCTGCTGCTTCTCAGTTACCTCGCAGTGAACATCTTCCCTTTCCACAGCAAGGTCAGCGTCAGGAGAGAAAAAAAAAACAACACCTGAGCAACATCCCAATGGGAATAACTGTCCAAAACATCACAGGAAACACAGCAATGGTAATTTGGCCAAAAATGGCCAGTTGTGCTGACAGCTTTTACAGCATCATGTACCACCCTAACTGGAACAGCATGCTGTCCAGTTATTCAAGAAAGAGCTTTCAGAAGGAAGAGAGGGTGCCTGCCAGTCGCTCCTCCTTTGTTGTTGAAAACCTAACTCCACTAACAACATACATCTTATGCGTAACCTGCCAGTCTGCAAACCCCTCCAGTGACCAGTGCAGAGTTTTTAACACACTGGAACAAGACCCAGCATCTGCGAGCAACACCAAGAAAGAGCTGGCGCTGGGTATCTGGCTCACCAGCAGCGTCCTGCTCCTCATAATCGCTGCAATCCTCCTCTATGGCTGCCTGCACCTCCTATGCCGTAGGAGACGTGACCGTCTACAAGGGCAAAACAGGACCTCCAAAGAAGACCACAGGAAGGCACAGACCAAAAGCGCAGCGTGCGCCTCAGAGGAGCTTGGCAGGCAGAGTCAACTGATGCAGGACACCAGGGATCCAGGTGGCATCCAGCTGTCCACAATCATAGAGAATCCCTCAGCATGCAAGGAGCCTGTCACACCGACTTCCAAAAGCTGGGAACGAGTGCCAGTGACAGGACAGTGCTCTGCTATAAATTAGAAACTTTTTGTCAGGGAGGAGAGTTTTGTGACATACAACACCCCAACTGCTTCAAACATATTGCGTGTGTTGTCGACGCTCACAATGGGGAGCTCCAACTGCTTCCCCCAGCACTCCTGGCTGTACTTCCAGTGCCACATCCCTCTCCAACAGCCCCTATGCAGCCAGAGGTACTCAGAGGCAATGGCCCAGATTCTCAAGAAGTGAATACTTCAGCTGCACTCCACTACTTAAAAATGAAGTATGTAGCAGATAATCGGTTTACATTTTGAGGGGACTTTTTGGTTGCTTTTCATTAGTTTAAACCAGCAAAGAAATATAAAAATGAAGCAAAAGTGACCAGAACACGCTTTTTTTTACTAGCATAAATTAAAACTGAGTCGAAGTTTTTGGATGGCAACCCAGACTACTACACTACAGGCAACTGGAACATACACCCCAAGTGCAGTGGTTTGCCAGTGTGAGTTTTACCCCCACCATCCCAACTGCTTCTCAAACTACAAACTACAAACTACTACACATAAACTATGCATTTCACCAACCATGATGCTCTCCAAAGCTCCCATCCAGATTAGGTCAATCTCAGCATGTAAACTAAATTGACCAGAATTTTAACGGAATCCTTTTGTCTGTCTTTGAAATTTTCCCTTGGTCTAAAAGCATATGCAAGATAGTGTCTCTGTAAGGACACTTCTAATCAAACTAAGGAAATATTCTGGGTTATTCTATTTTGCACTCTCCTATACCCACCACAAGCCACCTTCTGCTCCACGGGCAAGTGACTCCCTGTAGAGAAAACGGAGTTCAGAGAAGCAACTCCTGCCCCTTCCTTCTCTCTTTTCCTTTCAGTTTTTTAATGGTAAAACTCATTCACCAGCTACAAATTTCTATCCAACCGCAGAGTACATCTTGTGTAATGAAGGGGCAAGTAAGTAAAAAGATGGCAAACCACATTTTATTTTTGTAACAATCAAATCCGCTGACCATCTCACTCTGCCTTGAGCTTCATGGCAAACTGCCAAGAAAGGATCTTCAGATAGAAATCCATTCACCCTCACAATACAATGCATCTTGCCTGGCTTACGTGTATAAGTCATCCTGTTTTAAATCTCTTAAGTGCATTTGTGTCCATAAAAACATAATAAATCCTAGTATTGCTGTATAGTATGGTATGTCCAAAACCCAAAGATATGCTGTGATTGCAGGCATTTTAAACTGCTATTGATAGGAACGTATATGCATAAAGTCAGCTCTTGTTGGCACAGCTCATTTGTACCAGTAAAAGCTGGAGAACTGCTGGCTGGGCAGCTGCCATCCCTTTCCACCATGCCCTGGAAACTGAGGGGGTGTACAATTTTGGCACGAAAGCAGCTACTGAATATTTCACAGCAGGCAGTGGGTCTTTTCAGCTACTGTATTTTGACAACATTTCCCACAGCGTGTGAAAGACGTCAACTCTCGTATTGCTAGGAAGACAGGATCTGGCATAAGTTTGATGCGTCGTCCTTACTTTTTTCTACTAGGATAGGTACGACACAGAAATGCGTGCTGAATGGGGGTGAGTATTCCTTTTAGAAAACACTTCAAAAGGTGTCTTTATTGTGTTAAGTTAGCAATAACGTGTTCTCCACCCCCTACACAGCATTTCCTCCAGCTGACAAGTTTTTCTTCCTCTTACACACCAGTCTTAAATAAACTGTGAAGATGAACAGTTTACTGCTGTTTCATGAAACAGACACTGAAAAACTCTCTTCAGAGCATGAAGCCAACACTATAGGTCTCCTGCCAAAAAGGGGCGGCTGGCTAGTGGGAACAAAACCAAATACTTTAAAATGAGCTTGTAATCAAATTAACAGTAACAGTTCTCTGACTAGGATTGCATCAAAGAGAGAAAAGATAATGTTAAAGGGACAGAGCCAAGAGATATATTTTCATCTCCACCAACATTTTAGGCCCTTAAAAATCTGATGACTTCTCTGCACACCTGTTTCTTTATGTGAGTTTTAAGCCAGTCCAATACATATATTTACATGCATTTATATGTTACGCAGACGTATATGCCATACTGAGAACAAGGAGCAGTTTAGTCAAAGCAGTTTTGAAGCAATTCACCTACTGAATTTTGTTACTTATACACAAACACATATATACAAAAATCCACATGTATATATCAGATTGAGAAGGCAAGGAGCTACCATGGAAGTGCTCCCAGGAATGGAATTTACCTCATGTAAATATAAAGCCATTCCACGCAAGGAGTTTACTATGCACTGCTTAGACAAACATTTTTATTGCCTCACAAGCAACAGACCATCTTGCACACACTACAAATGAGCAATGCATAAGTAGTGTCATCTGACTTCTGCACTAAGTTCGAAGAACTTGTGTCATCACACATTCACAGAGCTACACAATTCTTTGTCTCTTGCTCAGAAAGTTTTAGTACAGATTCATTCTGGTTCATTCTGGCAATTCTGTGTTTTGGTAGTTCACTGTCCAGTTTTAACAGTGACCTAGTAAGGGGCAAATATTCTAAGTGATTACTAAACTGATAACAAGATGGAGCATAGTGCAAACTGATGTTAATTTGTGCACCAGCAGTAGATAAAAAACATTATATTCACATTCAGAAGTATTTTCCAAAGGGGTCTTTTTTTCACAAAACACAAGTGAGTTGGCATCTACAAAATACAGAAGACAAACAAGCATAAAAATGCTGTATAAACCAGAAAGGAAGCTCTTCTGGTCTACACAAACTCTATATAACCAGGTACTTCATTAACATGCAGTTAGTTCCAAATCCCCAAAAGAGACTCCTTCTTACATGCACATTATTAAGTATTTTATACATCCAGTCAAATTTCCATCTGCTAGCATTCATTTCACTAATCCTACACACACTTCACCTGAGTAAAGGGATTTCAATGACCATGCTCAATGAGCTTTTTAAAATACTCCAGCTCACTTAAAATACTGACAAGCTTCTAGAGTTTGGCTCCTTCCCACCTGACAGCTCTGCTCCCATGTCAGCCAGAAGTAAATTGTATCTGTGGGTTTCTGTTTTGATAATTGGATGAAGATACTGCTCAGAAAACCTTAGATGCAACGGAGAATGTGGACACAACTGTCTATGCTAAGCATCAATACATATTAATATAAACCAAATGCTTTGATCCATTTAGGAATATCTGAGAATCAAAACCAAAAATTTCTTTAATTTCTCTTAAGCAAGCACATTGCTTGTGCAAAGCTTCTGCACAGGAAATGTTTAGCCATTATAGTCCAATACATGCATGTATGAGTGTACGTATAAACAACAACAATGCTCTTGTCTTGACCTAAACACACACCATGGATTGCTTAGAAAAAGTCCAATAAAGAAAACAAAAAGTCATATTCCTTAGTTATGTGATATGAAGTGCTCACCTGGATATCTTGAGTAGTTCAAGAACTCAGAGACAACAATACAATAAAAAACACATAGCTGCACTATGTCCCACTGGAGGCAATTCAACAATACAACCGTTAGAGGACCCAAACAAGGATATGGTCCGTGACAAGCCTGGCTGTGTAGTACACAGAATAATACAATGCAATTATACCACAGGTTAGAATGTGTAGCCTCTATCACATAAGAATTACTATCTGTTATTTGCTATATACAATAGAAATGTCCTCCTAAAATTCCACTCACATGTCCTCAATCACAAAACACATAAGACTCAAGAATAAAAACATACTCTTGAAAAAATTTGTAACTACAGTCAGGAATATTTGCTAATATAGGCATATCTAGTTATGAAACTTGCTCCAGAAACTCATCTAAGGATCCCCTCAATTGCTCCTGCTCATACAGAAAAATAATCAGATTTCTAAAAACGTATAGCTCTCAGAGTAAAGATTACTAAACTCATTTTAATAATGTAACCTGACTGATAAAAAAAGGGTTCCTCAGTTAATCCTCTGCCACTTACCCCACTGTATCATCACTTAGATAAATTATCAAACTCTACTAAATTCAGTGGAGTTTTTGTTTTTTACACTGCATCTGGTGAATTCCTAAAATAGTAAGGAACACAATAACTCTAATGTAAGAAAATCCCACTTTCCTATAATTTATTGTTCCCTGTTGGAGAACAATTATATAAAACACTATCCAAGGTACCAGACAATCAGCTGTTACATTCCACATTAAAGACATGAATCCTTTTCCACCTCCTTTACATTTTAAAAGCATAAAAGTTTTACAAATGTAGCAGATATATTAGGACTGAAATTTGTAACTTCTGAGCTATCTCTTCAGTTCTCAAAAGCGATCTTGCTGGGCAAATCACTTAACAGAGATTGCACCATATAACTGGGATATGATGTGCAGAAAGTAACAGTAAGACAAGGACTAATTATGCTCATATTAAGTAGGAGATAAAGTAACTAGACATGAAATTGACACAGTGCACTTGTATAAATTACAAGGACAACAGAGTACATAATTTTAAAGCTTTTTTTAGTCAACAATCCTCTAATTTGATCCTTACATTTTTATTGATCTTTTCCATACTCAATAAAACAATGCAAAATAAAGAATAACATCTTGCTAAATATTCTCAAATGATTTGCTGAAGATAGCACTGCTGGTTTTTACAGTTGTTTGAAGTAGATCAGTGTTTCTGACTGGATATTAAAAATGCAGATATATGTTAATATGCTATGCCTTTAACTGTCATTAAGACTCAGGTAATAATTCTAAAGCACAAGAAAATAAATCTGCAGTGATCAGGGAGAATAAACCTATCCCTTCCACATACAATACTGCACACATGAGCATAGCATTGGTCCTGGGAATAAAGGCTAACTTTCCTCACTTGGGTAGCTCTGCAAAAGCCCACGACTATTCTCTTGTGCCAAGTACTCTCTCAGCTTGTCACCCACATAAGCTCCCTTCCAACATCAGTATTGGGCACTGCCTTAAGGCACAGAGTATGTGACTAAATATCATGTGCACTTCTAATGAAACCTTGCATAAACCTTCTAGGCACTCCTAATCTGCAAAGCAAGATGATGCTAATATAGCAGATGAGATGACCAGAAGGACAAGTTCATCACAACAACTTTGAGGTCCTTGGATTGAAGATGCCAAAGAAATACTACTTACTTTTTTAAAAATAATCTAAGCAGTTTAGTATCTGATAGTTTAGGATGTCAGAATCTATACTCCTGTTAAGTAAGATAACATCTGAAGCAGTTTTTCCTATCTGATTCCTTTTCTTCTGCCATCACAGTCTTCATCACAGTAACAAGGGAGCAGCTGCACCCAAGATGGTTCTCACTTCACCAGATGTCTAATTAATCTTTTCTTTTCTTTGAGTCTGCACTGCCACTACAAGCAACTGTGCCATGCAAGGTGGTTGAGAGAAGGACTTATTTTTAGTTATGTCAGGTAAGACTAACCATCAGACTAATCACCTGCTCTTTGGCTGAAACATTGTGAGCTTCACAGCAAAGCCTGAAAAAAAAGGTGTACGTTGAATTTAAAATACTCACAAAATGTATTTGAGTCCATTTTTAATCCTTTTCATATTCGGTAATTTTTATAATCAAAAAAGATACCTTTAAACATTAGCAAATCATAAAGCAAATTAAATCCAACCTTTGATCCGTAGAGGTACTGTGGCTGTGCATTAGGCTGCTTGTCTCTCTGAAACTCCTGAGAAAATGGTAGCACAGTCCGAACAAATCTATAAAAACAAAATAAAGAATTCATTAATTACACTTAGACTAGTAAGTGTGTACCTAATGCATCTTGCCCTGTATAATGCTGCTTTTGTCTAGGTATAAAATCAAAGCCACACTGGCAGCCTTTCAGCCCAAGTTGAAACTGGGGAAGGACATAGCCTGCATTGCTCAAAAGCCTGGACACAAATCATAATGCAATTCTTCATCACTTACTAAGACTCGTTTTTTCCAGTGGTGTGCATGGTCCCAAAATATTTCTCATCTCTACTCTAGCCCAGCCCAGCAAAAAGAGAAGCAACTAACGAAGTAGCAATAGGCTATCACAGAGAGAATGAAGTGCCTGGTGCTTCCAAAATTAAATCCTAGACAATGAACTACATCTTCAAAGAAGAACATGACATTTCTATTTAACATCTTGGAACTTCTTACCCCCAAAGAAACTCACAGA